CGCTCTCGGCTGTCTCTCGTTCAGGACCTCCCATCTCTGCGCATCTGCGGACGGCGTGATGCGCCTGCGCGCGTCTCGCAACGTCGGCGCGCTGCTTCTGCTGCTGGCAGCGCGCGGCGCCTCGATCGCCGGGTCGCCGGCGAGCGGGGCGCTGGCCCGCCCGAGCGTGGAGGGCCCGGCGAGCGGCCCCCCTCGCGAGCCGCAGGCCGAGCTCGGGAGGGGACAGGCCGGTGGCGACGCGCAGTTGCTCGAGCTCTTGGATTGTGACGGGACCTCGAGCGACTTTTTCGGTTACTCGGTGGCCGTGAGCTCCGACGGGGCTCGCGTGGTGGCGGGGGCCTACGGTGACGACGACCGCGGCGCCATTTCCGGCTCCGCGAACGTGCTCGAAGGGGCCGCCGGCGAGAGGTTGCTCAAGCTTGTGGCGAGTGATGGGGCCGCCGACGACAAGTTCGGTCACTCGGTGGCCGTGAGCTCCGACGGGGCCCGCGTGGTGGCGGTGGCCTACGGTGACGACGGCCAGGGCGGAGGTTCCGGCTCCGCGCGCGTGTTCGACGGGGCCACCGGGGAGAAACTGCTCTTCAGGTTTTGGCTTGTGATTGGGCCTCCGCCGACAGATTCGGTTCTTCGGGGGCCATGAGCTCCGACGGGGCCCGCGTGGTGGCGAGGGCCCGCGGTGACGACGACCAGTGGCGGCATGCGCGTTCGACGGGGCCACCGGCGAGAGGTTGCTCAAGCGTGTGGCGAGTGATGGGGCCTCCGCCGGCAGATTCGGTTCTTCGGTGGCCGTGAGCTCCGACGGGGCCCGCGTGGTGGCGGGGGCCTGCGGTGACGACGACCAGGGCGGCACGTCCGGCTCCGCGTGCGTGTTCGACGGGGCCACCAGCGAGAGGCTGCTCAAGCGTGTGGCGAGTGATGGGGCCTCCGCCGACAGATTCGTTTCTTCGGTGGCCGTGAGCTCCGACGGGGCCCGCGTGGTGGCGGGGGCCTATTATCACGACGGCCAGGGCGGAGGTTCCGGCTCCGCGTGCGTGTTCGACGGGGCCACTGGCGAGAAGCTGCTCAAGCTTGTGGCGAGCGGTGGGGGCCCCAGTGACTCTTTCGGTTATTCGGTTGCCGCGAGCTCCGACGGGGCCCGCGTGGTAGTGGGGGCCTGCGGTGACGACGACCAGGGCGCCAATTCTGGCTCCGCGAACGTGTTCGACGGGGCCACTGGGGAGAAGCTGCTCTTCAGGTTTTGGCGAGTGATGGGGCCTCCGCCGACAGATTCGGTCACTCGGTGGCCGTGAGCTCCGACGGGGCCCGCGTGCTGGCGGGGGCCTGCGGTGACGACGACCAGAACGGAGGTTCTGGCTCCGCGTGCGTGCTCGAAGGGGCCACCGGCGAGAAGCTGCTCAAGCTTTTGGCGAGTGATGGGGCCTCCGCCGACAGGTTCGGTTCTTCGGCGGCCGTGAGCTCCGATGGGGCCCGCGTGGTGGCGGGGGCCTGCGGTGACGACGACCAGGGCGGACGTTCCGGCTCGGCGCGCGTGTTCGACGGGGCCACCGGGGAAAAACTGCTCTTCAGTTTTGGGCGAGTGATGGGGCCTCCGCCGACAGGTTCGGTTTTTCGGTGGCCGCGAGCTCCGACGGGGCCCGCGTGGTGGTGGGGGCCTACTTTGACGACGACCAGGGCGCCATTTCCGGCTCCGCGTACGCGTTCGTTGGCACCGCCGTCACCACCGAGACGGCCACGAGTTCCGCGATGTCAAACACCATTACCACAACCAAGACAACCACCGATACAACAACCGAGACGACCACCGAGACGACCACCAAGACGGCCACGACGACCACCGATACAGGCACGAGTTCGGCCATGTCAAACACTACAGCCACCACCGAGCCATCGGCGGAGGAGCAGCAAGATTCCCGGGGGATTAATTGCAGTCTTCGCAGGTGTCTTGATCTTGTTTTCGGTCTGCGGCGTCGCGCTGGGCTGCCTGATGAGGCGCGGATGTCCTGGCCGTGGCAGGGGCCCAACACCCAAGCGCGGCATTCACGACGTGCAGGTTGAGGCCAACGTGTCGGAGCAGGACGCGGAGATCGATGAGCACGAGTCGGATAACCGAATTCAGCACGACGCGGAGGTTGAGGCCAGCACGTCGGAGCTGGACGCAGAGATTGATGAGCACGAGTGTTTCAATGTATGTTCTGCTTGGGCGCTCTCCTCCCTCTCCTATCCGCCCTCCTGCAGTTTTATTCTATGGGTAGTGGATATGGGGATGGGTGTTGAGGTGGGGGAGTTTAGCGGGTGCAATTTTCGCAGGTTTGGGGTTGCCTTGCAAAACCCCGGGTAGCGGCCCCAGAATCGCACATTATTGTGCACAAGTCTGCTCAGCAACCCTCAGCATTTCATTATGTGTTCTCTTATACAGCATGATCAGCTCACAATGTATGCCATAACTCAGCCTGTATCATCAGGCTACTTTGCAGAACGACTCTACGCGAACTCAGCTTTGGCTTCGAGAAGCCACATTTCTTTTACATAGCATCAGTCGTTACCTTGTCTGGCCCGACACAGGCGGCACAGTCTTTTTATAAGGCTGCGGCTACATTCCTGAAGAGGACAGCCGACTACATCATGACAGCCCCAACCCGTTGGCGCTCCTAATTTTGCTATTTGCGGATACTGTCGTACGTTGTATTTGCATGGCCATCATAGTTCGTGTCTAAACTAATCTTGCCACCAGCGATGAGCAAGTCCGATAAGTTTCTGTGGGCGATGCGTCTACCGCCCAAGGTGGTATAGGATACGTGCTTGTCGCGCCAGCATAGGGCCTGGCATATGGTGATAGCAACGCAAGATTTCCGTAACCCAAATCCTTCTCGATTTGTGATACCCGTTGCTGAAGTCTTCGGAAGAAACGCAGTTCTGCTTATTCTGGGCGTGATCGTCTGTTTCGCTCCGCCTTGCGTGTACACCCTTGGGCAATCGACCAGATGAGTGCGCGCCAGGCTGATGCGTCTCCGTCGAAAAAGCATCCATGTCATGTCCTGTTGTCGATTCTTCTCAAAGGGGCAGCGAGTATATTCGCTACGCGTTGTCTACACACCCTTGGGGTCTTGACCACGCAAGGACGTATGCGCCAAGCGATGCGTCTCTATCAGGATTCCTTGTCAATGTTCACTTTTGGGTGCGTGTCGAAGGGCGGTTGGTCGCCCCTTCCCAAAAAAGAAAGGGGAGCAAGAAGAGGGTGGAGAGGTCGAGACGCGTGGGGGGGGAGAGGTCCTGATCGTAGTGAGAGAATGTCATTGGTCAAGAAGGGAAATGAGAGTGTCTCGAGCTGGCTCCGTTGGAAACTGTCGGCCCTCGTTGTAACTTCATTCGTCCCCCCAAGCTGCGTGGAATCAGTTCGGCTGTTCTGGAATTTTGAGTAGGGGGGATTAGGTGGAGGACGATGAGAGGCAGGAGGAACAGGAGGAGGAAGGGGAGGAGACGGAAATGGAGAAGGAGGACAACGATGGTTGGGGCTTGGCGTCACCATCTCGACTTTGCCGCCCGGTGCTTCGCGGGACTTCAGTGGAACGTCCAGCGCCTTTTGCCCCCTCCTCCCCCGCTCCTTCCACCCCTCCCGCTTTACTCCTCACATCCCTCCTCCATCCTGCCGTTCCTACTCCTCACGTTGCTCGCTTCTCCCATGGGAAGATCACGCAATCAAGGATCATAGCGCATGTCTCTGTGAATGCGGCGTAACCCCGCGCCACGTGTTCAGTTTGTCCATCCATGCACCTAACAGTGTGCTATGAATCCACCTTGCTCTGTGCACCGACGACCGCGTTCCTGGCCCTGGGGTGGCCCACTTTTCCTAAACTCCCCCCATCGCAACCCAATTGCTCCCCCCAGGCTCTGGGACCCGCCTTGGGGCCTTCGAGTGCTTTTTTCGGCCTCAAGAGGCTTGCGAGCTGGTTCAGGAGGACTCCCGCTGGCCGCCAAGACGGCTCAGGGTGGCCCAAGACATTCCAAGATATCCGAGGCCGCCACCCCCTGGGCCACAAGATGCCCCAGTGGAGCTCCCAAGAGACCCCCAAAGAAGACCCCCCAAAAGGAGAGCCAAAATCGCAGAAGCAATTCAGGTGTTTGCACTCTTGGTTAATCTCACGTTTTTCTCCTTCGGATGGCTTCGGGAGCGCTTCAAATGGCCCCGACGAGGGGCGGTCCCACAACTTCGACGAAGAGCCCAACACGGCTCCTAGCTGGCCCCGAAGCTTTCAAGGCAGCCCTAATGGGAAGATCTTCGAGACACCCCTACACTCCGAGCTAGCTCACTTCATATTCAATATGGCCCCACGCTGGTTCTGAACAGCTCGGAGGTTCCGCGTAATCCGCAACAGTAGCACGCCGTCAATTAGAGCGAAAGGCGGAAATCGAGTACAACCGAGAGAGACTGGAGGATCAGCGAGGAAGGATGTGCAATGAATATTGGAAGACGCGGTAGGGCAAGGCGTGGAAGGAGCTTGTTCGATAAGCGCCTTGGCTTCCGCTAGAACCTAAGCGCGCGCGAAGCACGCGCGTGGTTCTAGTATATACACATATATATATATATATATATGCATGCATGCATCCATGTATGCATGTATGTATGTATGTATGTATGTATGTATGTATGTATGTATGTATGTATATATATGTACGTACGCATGTATGTATGTATGTATGTATGTATGTATGGATGTATATGCATGTATGCATATATGCATGTATGCATGTATGCATGTATGCATGCATGCATGCATGCATGTATGCATGTGTGCGTGTATGTGTGTATGTATGTATGCATGCCTGCATGAATGCATGTATGTATGTATATATATATACAAATTTGTCTGTCTGTCTGTCTGTCTGTCTGCCTGCCTGCCTGTCTGTCTGTCTGTCTGTCTGTCTGTCTGTCTGTCTGTCTGTATGGATGTATGTATGTATGTATGTATGTATGTATGTATGTATGTATGGACATATGTATATGTGCATGTATATATGTATGTATGCATGCATGCATGCACGCACGTAAGTACGTACGTACGTACGTATGTATGTCTGTATGTATGTACGTATGTATGCATATATGTTATATATGTATTCCTACCTCTCTCTCTCTTTCTCCCCCCATCCTCCTCTCCTCTTCGGGCCCACAGGACGGCCTCCTGCGGCGCGGCCTCTTCTCCGTGTTCTTCGCCGACGAGGAGAGCGACGAGGAGAGCGAGGCCACCGCGCGGGCGAGGCAGGGCAGGCACGGGGCCCCGCTCTCGGCTCCCCGGCGTTGCGCCGGGCCGCGGGGCGCCGACGGCCTGGCCCCGCCGTCGGGCCGCTCCGGGGGGGGGGCCCTGTTCGCGCCGTCCTTCGGTGGAGGGAGGGGGGAGGGGTCAGGAGGAGGAGGAGGAGGAAGGAGGAAGGCGGAGGAGGAGGAGGAGGAGGAGGAGGAGGAGGAGGAGGAGGAGGAGGGGAGAAGGAGGAAGGAGGAAGGAGGAAGGAGGAAGGAGGAGGAAGGCGTCAGGAGACTGTCGCCTTCAGTGCCTCAGCGCCCCTGCCACGCGAAGAGGGGGGGCAGAGGGGGAGGGGGGGAGGCCTCTCGGGCCAGCAGCGGCGGGCCCCGTCCGTTACAGCGCGGGGCCCGCGAAGTGCCAGGAGGCGGCCTCCTTCCAAGAAGCCTCCCCCCCTCCCCCTGCCCCCCTGGGCGCGCCGCCAAGGGGGGGGCTCCGGTTTTCGAGCCGTTCTTCGGGTCTAAGTTCGGGGGCCCCTCCGTGGTCGAGGCTCGCCGTGGCCAGCATCGCCCCCTGTCTCTCATCGCATCGCGTGGCCTTCGGCCTGCTGGCACGACGACGGTCCGCCCATGCCGATCCTGGGCAGGCCGAACGTGGGCCCAGCATGGGCCTGCCCAGGGATCGGTGCAGGTGTTTGGTTGGCGTCCTCCCATCGGGGTGAGGGGGAGGGGGAAGGGGAGGAGGATGAGGAGGAGGAGGAGGAGGAGGAGGAGGAGGGGGAGGAGGAGGAGGAGGAGGAGGAGGAGGAGGAGGAGGAGGAGGAGGAGGAGGAGGCGCGCAGCCGTGCGCCCGCACCGCCGTGGAGCTCCCGTTCTCTCTTCACCGTCGAGCCCGCATGGCGGGCGAGCCCCAGCCCTCCACAAGGGGAGACTGGCACACGAACCTCCGACCTCGTGGGTGTGAAAAGACGTGGTCGCGGTGCGCGTGAGGCCGACAAATCATAGGGGAACAAAAAGTGACGTAAACATAAAAACTCGGAGGTCCGCGCGGATTTCTCGGCTCGGCGCTGGACGCGCGGAGCGCGCCAGGGGCGGCGCCGGAGGCGCCGCCAGGGGGGCCCAGCGCCGATCCGAGAAATCCGCGCGGACCTCCGAGTCTTTCTGTTTATGCCACTTTTTGTTCCCCTAAATCAGGAGGCTCCGAGGGCCATACATCGGCAACGCACACACACACACACACCCGTTGCACCTTGCCCTCGCCTCTGGCGAGCTTGGTCATCCAAAGCTTTTCTCTTTCTCTCTCTCTCTTTCTCTTTCCCCCTCCTTCCCCCCTCTCGTCTCCACTCCCCCCTTCCCCCCAACTCCTCTCCCTTTCCCTTGCACTCTCCTCTCTTCCCTTGCCCTCCCCTCCTATCCCCTCCCTCGCCCCGCTTCTACTCCTTCACCCGACTCCTCTCGCATCGCTCCCCGCGTTCCTTCTCCCCTCCTCCCTCCTTCCCCCTTCCTCCCTCTCCCCGGGCCTCCTCCCTCCTCCCCTCTGTCCCAACGACCCGTTACCGCCCCCATGCCGTCCTTTGAGTAGTCGTAGTAGTCAGAGTAGTAGTCGTCGTCGTATTAGTCGTAGGTGTAGTAATAGTAGTAGTAGTAGTAGTAGTAGTAGTAGTAGTAGTAGTAGTAGTAGTAGTAGTAGTAGTAGTAGTAGTCGTAGTAGTAGTAGTAGTAGTAGTAGTAGTAGTAGTAGTAGTATCGTAGTAGTAGTAGTAGTAGTAGTAGTAGCAGCATCAGTAGTAATAGTAATCGTAGTAGTAGTACTAGTACTAGTATAGTAGTAGTAGTCGAGTAGTGGAAGTAGTAGTAGTAGTAGTAGTAGTAGTAGTAGCAGTAGTAGCAGCAGCAGCAGCAGCAGCATCAGCAGCAGTATTCTTATTATGGTGATTAGTAGTCTTGGCAGTTGTAGCAGCAGTAGTAGTAGTAGTAGTAGTAGTAGTAGTCGTAGTCGTAGTCGTAGTCGTAGTCGTAGTCGTAGTCGTAGTAGTAGTAGTAGTAGTAGTAGTAGTAGTAGTAGTAGTAGTAGTTATAGTAGTAGTAGTAGTAGTAGTAGTAGCAGTAGCAGTAGCAGTAGCAGTAGCAGTAGCAGTAGCAGTAGTTAGTCGTCAGTAGTAGTCGTCGTAGTAGTAGTAGTAGGAGTAGTCGTAGAGTAGTAGTAGTTAGTAGTAGTAGTATTAGTAGAAAAAATAGTAGTAAGTAGTCGTAGTAGTGTAGTAGTAGTAGTAGTTGTAGTCGTAGTAGTAGTATTAGTAGTAGTAGTAGTAGTAGTAGTAGTAGTAGTAGTAGTAGCAGTAGTCGCAGTAGTAGCAGTAGAAGCAGAAGTAGTAATCCAGGACAGCCCCAAGAGTGGCCCAGTGGGAGAACCCGAACGAACATTTCGAGTCTTCGACTTCAAATCGCCTTGGGGTCCTCTTGGGACGTCTGGGAGTCCTCTTGGGGGCCTCTTGGGCCATCTTGGGTCCATCCAGGTGGCTTCCGGGCCGCCTAGGACTTTGTGAACGTACAAGAGGCGAATGCGCTAAACATTCACGTTTCCTTTGGGAATGGGGCGAGTTTGTTGCTCTTTGAGGCTGTCTTGGGACGCCTCTTGAGGGCTTCGTGGGGCGACTTGGGGGCCTCTTCGGAGTCTGGAGGTCAGTGTGGCCGTTTTGGATCGATCTTTCGGCGGCTTGTGGCACTCTTAGACCGTCTGGAGGGCCTCTTGGTACCCTCTTGGCTTGTTTTGGAGCCCTTTGTCCCCCCGTGATGCGTTCGGTGGTCCCAGGGGACCCCCCCCTCCAAATCGACCGGACCAGGCTCCCAGGGGGAGGGGGGAGCCTCTCACACGCCGATGAACCCCAAGGGGTCGGCGGATTCTTACTGTCTTGTCGTTGCTCGGGCCACCGCGGCAGCTGGAGGAAGAATAAGATGAGGAAGGGCATGAGTACGACGAGGCGGTGGATGGCGAACAGGGACATTCCATGGTAAATCAATGTTCGCCAGCGTGGACTCCAAGCGGTGTGTTTCTAGCTCTATATGTTGTGCTACCTATGTGGAGCAATATGTGTGGTGCAATCTGTGTGGAGCAACCTATGTGGTGCACTCGATGTTGTGCAATCCTTGTGGTACGATCAATGTTGTGCAAGGTCCAAGACGCCTACGGCGAATCATCGCCGCCCCCTGCCGTTTTGGAAGCGCCTATGTGGCCGTACGTTGAGGCCAAACCTGCCAAGCTATCGGACCATATGTTCCCCGAATCGGTTTGGAAAGCCTTCGGGGAACACGTGGGCGTCTTGAAGGTTATCTTGGCCGCCTGGAGGCCATTTTGACCCTTTCGGGCCTTCTTGGAGCATGTCTTGGAGGGCTCTTGGACCGTCTTGGAGGCCATCTTGAGCGTCTTGGAGGCCTCTGCGGCCGTCTTGGGTGCCTCTTGGGGCCGTCTTGGGCCTCCTGGGCGATCTTTGGGGGCACTTGGGCCGTCTCGGGCCGTCGGAAAACCGAAACAAAAAGAAAATGCCACAATCCTTGAACAACTAATGGGAAATCAATGATTTGGGTCTTTTCGGGCCTTCTGGAGGCCCTCTTGGAGGCCTCTTGGGCCGTCTTGGGCCATCTTAGTGCCATCTTCGGCCGTCCTTGGGGGGCCCTGGCCCGTCCGACGCCGTCGGAAGCCGTTTGGGGGGCCTTTCTGAGCCGACTTGGGGCCCTCTTGGAATGCTCCAGGGCCGTCTTGGAGGTTATCTTGGGCGTCTTATAAACCTCCTGGGCCGTCTTGGGGCCCTCTTGGGGCCGTCTTGGGGGCCTCTTGGGCCGTTCTGGGGCCATCTTGGAGGCCTCTTGGGCATCCTTCGGCGATCTTTGGGGGCTCTTGGGCCGTATCGGGCCGTCGGAAGGCCGAAACGAAGCAAACATCAAAATCCTTAGAAAATGTACGGGAAATCAGTGCTTTTGGCTTTCTGGCCTTCCTGGAGGCCCTCTTGGAGGCCTCTTGGGCCGTCTTGGGCCAGCTTCGAGCCAAGTTCGGCCATCTTGGTGGGCTCCTGGCCCGTCTGACGCCGTCGGAAGCCGTTTGGGGGGCCTTTCTGGCCGACTTGGGGCCATCTTGAGGTGCTCCAGGGCCGTCCGAGAGGCCATTTTCGGCGTCTTGGAGGCCTCCTGGGTCGCTTTTGTGCCCTCTTGGGGCCGTCTTTGGGGCCTCTTGGGCAGTCCTGAGGCCGTCTTGGAGGTCTCTTTGGCGCTGTGGGGGCGATCTTGGGGACCTCTTGTGCCGTCTTGAGCCGTCGGAATGCAGAGACGAGGCAAATGCCAAAATCCTTCAAACACCTAAGGAAAATCAATGTTTTTGGCCTCTTCGGGCCCTCCTGGAGGACCTCTTGGAGGCCTCTTGGGCCGTCTTGGAGACCCCTGGGAAGCCTCTGTGGGTGTCTTCGGCCGTGTTGGACTCTCTTGGGCCGTTTGGGACGCCGTCTTGGACCATCTTGGGCGGACTTGAAGACCATCTTGGACCATCTTGGAGGCCATCTTGGGCCAACGTGGCCATTTTGGAGACCATCTTGGGCCATCTTGAGCAAACATTCTGAGAATTCCAGGCCTTCGGGTGGCCGGCGGGACGGGCCGCAGCCCCAAAACCAACACCGAAAAAGTCTGGCACGCCAGGCACCCCTGCGATGAATCGACAGGGGGCGGCGGATCAAAGACGCCTGCGGCGAATCACCGCCGCCCCCTGCCCCTTTGGAA